GGGGGGGGGGCGGATGAGGCTTCACAGACAGAGAGCAGGTGGCGCTGCTAGTGCCAGGCCCCTCCACGAGCGACGGACGGGGCATGACCCGTCTTTGAAGAGATGGGCGTGAAGGTGCACTTTAGGCTGATCATCGCTCGGAGTAGTGAGGGAGATGAATTAGCGGGGCGGAGATTTGAGACTATTTTGGTAATAATACTCTTTTGATGCCAGGATAAAAGCCTGTATGGTACCCAACCCTTATATGCAGCTTCTACGTGCCAGGCACCGTTCAAAGCACTTACATGAAATAATTCATTGATCCCAACAACCCTATGAGATAAATAGTATTATCCCCACTTTTCTGATAAGGGCCCAGCAAGGTTAAGCAGCATTTTGAAGGTGACACCATTAGCAAATGGTGACGGCAGGATTGGAAAATGGGCAGGCTGGCTTCATGGGCCATGCTCATAAACAAGCTAAGTCACAGCCTAACTCTAGACCAGGGCTCAGCAAACTTCTCTTGTAAAGGGCCCAACAGTCAATATTTTAGGTTTTGCAGACTATACGGCCTCTTTCACAATTACTCAGCTCTGCTGTTGCAGGGTGAAAGCAGCCATAGACAATATGTAGACAAATTAACCTTATTTATGGAGACTAAAAGTTGAATTTCAGCCCTAGCCCGATTGGCTCAGTGGTTAGAGCGTCGGCCTATGGAGTGAAGGGTACGGGGTTTGATTCCGGCCACAGGCACCTACCTTGGTTGCAGGCTTAACCCCCAGCCCTGGTTGGGGTGTGTGCGGGAGGCAACCAATTGATGTGTCTCTCTCACATTGACGTTTCTCTCTCTCTCTCTCCTTCCCTCCCCTTCCACTCTCTCTAAAAAGCAATGGAAAAAATGTCCTCAGGTGAGAATAAAAATAATAACAATAAAAGCTGAATTTTGTAAAATTTTCATGTGTCATGAAATACTCTTTTTTTTTTGGTCATTTAACCAACAACTCAGAGTTCATGGCCTCTCTCTCCTCCTGTAGGAAGAAGGGAAGGAACACATCCCACCATGTATGTGGCTCCGTGACAGAGGGATGTGCAAATCTCTGGCCCACAGCCCTGCTGTGCTCCAAGACGGCCTTCTGGGGGCATTACATTCCTGTCTCCTTGTATCTTTCCTCGCCACACTCACTACCCAAGGATCCCTTGCACTCAGTTCACTGGAACAAGCCTTCATTGGACTTGCACAGAACCCCTAGACCTATCTTCTCATCTCACAGAGCATTGGGTGCAAGTATTGAGCAGCTGAAAGAAGTAGGAACAGGCCTGTGCCAAGCCAGTGGGCTCTGCTGGTGGTAAACCCATAACCAGAAGGAATCAACTGGCTCCGGGGTGCTCAGGGTTGAGCTTGTTTAGTTGCTCCTGATTCTGAGTCAGATTGATTTGGTAGCTAAGATACCCGTCTTTCTTCTTCAAGGGCTCAAACACCCTAAAGAGGCCTCGTACAGATCTACCCAGAGCTAAGGTAGAGGACTCACCTCTGGCAGGTCCAATCAGATAAAGACATATTAGCAAGAGAAACTCCATCTGGATTCTGGGAAAGAGGGAACCCTGGTATAGGGCACCCAAGAGCCACGAAGAGCAACTGTGAGCAGAAGCTCCTAGTGGTGAGTCACTGCTTCTGGGAGTTCTGGAACCTCAGAATAAATCCATGTTTGCTAACAATGGGGCGTGCCCTGAGGTTCTCAGGTTGGCCCTCCAACAACCCGTCAAACTGCGCCAGTGCAGGCTTCTCTGCCCTATTTTTTTAAAAAAATCTTATTATCAAAATAACATATAGGCTTTGTAATAAATTTTAAAAGCTATATCCTTTCTTCTTCAAGTGTTCTTGACAGTGAAGTGTGGATGGCTGGTTATTTTCTGCTTGGCCCCCTAAATCAGCCCTTTTTTGGCCTTGTGCCCCCAGAAGGCTGATCTCTATTGACTTGATGCCATGAGCGCTGGTTGGGTTTGGGTTCAGGTTGGGTTTAGCCAATGGAAGGTTGGAGTGAGGAAATGGACACACACACACACATTGAGGGAGAGGGAGAGAGACAGGAGAGAGAGAAACAGGAAAGACGAGCAGGAGGGGAGAAGAGAGAGATTGAGATTGAAGTACTTTTGTTCCTATTCCTGCCAGTCTGACACTGGCTGGGTCTTTCCATGATGGAGCTTCTGCCAAGTGTCCTCTCCTCCATGGCTCCAGCTCTCAACCAGGCTATGGTAACATGCATTTCTTCCCCTGCCCCTTTAGGCCTAAGGAAGACGATAGTTTCTTGCTGTGCTAAAATCTGGATGCCCCAACTCCCTCCCTCCCTCCTTCCCTCCCTCCCTCCCTCTCTAAAAAATTTATCTTTATTGTTGAAAGCATTACAAATGTCCCCCTTTTCCCCCCATTGATCTCCTTCCCCCTGCACCCCTCCTCCCAGCCAGGCCTTCACCACACTATTGTCTGTGTCCATGGATTATGCATATA